CAGCCACCAACACTAGCATGTTGGGAAAGCAAAAAGACAATTTCCCTGCCTGACGATGGGAGATGGGCCCCTAAAAAGATGACTGGACTCAAATGCAATTCCCTCTGGGAGATTAAGTTCACAGTCAGATACCAAGGTCAGGCAGAGAGAAAGAGAAAGAAAGAGAAATGAGTAGGAGTGACCATTAGAGTGTGAGGGATGGGCCGTGGAGGGCAGAGGCCCGTGGTACTGCAGCATCTGGCAAAGGGTGGGAGGTGCCAGCTCCCAGTAGAGTAAGGAGGAAGGTGCTGGCAGAGGGTGCCCCTCAGTGGCCAGGAATCAGGATCACCGGAACCAGGAATCAGGGGCTGGGACACGAAAGACCGCCTGGTCACACCTCCTTCCCGCCCATCCCTCACGCAAGGGTCCCCTTGGGTTTCCAAACCCAGAGCTAGAACCTCCCCACCTTGCCTCCTACTGTCTCCTCCAGGCAAGGCGTTAACTTCTCTTGACCTCTTAACAATGCCCTTGTTCCCAGCATCCCCGGGCTCGCCATCATTCAACAAAGACTGCAGCCCCTCAGTGAAAATGTGCTCCTGAGCTCACGACAACCTGCATTCCCTCAGCTGCACACACTGACCCCAGGACGCTGAAACATCTTGAAATTTCTCTATTTTTAAAGCACTGATTGAGCACTTACTACCTGGCAGGCCCTGTGCCACCAGCACCCTCCACCCGGCCCACAACCTAAACCCTATTCTTAACCCCAGCAAACAGCCCCAGACAGTTCCAGTCACCCAGGGGGACGGCTGCTGCTCCATCTGGCCACACCCGGGGACAGAACCATCCCGGCAGAAGCTGGGGGCGTCCCTCCCAGAGACCAACCCACATCTGTCCCACGTCTATGCATGTGTCCCACGTCTATGCATGTGCCAGCTGCTGGCCACAGGAGGGCAGGTGAGGACTGGGGAGGGGTCCTTGCCAACTCTCCTCATAGGAGGACAAATTGAGGCAGAGGTTGTGTGGACAGGACCCTTGGGAGGCGCTGAATCACTGCTTATAGAATGAACGCACTGGAGGAGGAAGGAGACCCTCAAGTGGGGGCAACAGGGAAAGCTTCACGAGAGTCAGAACTGGATGAAGCTGCCGTGTCCAATTGTTCCAAATTATTTTTGGAACAAGGTGAGCTCTAAACCCACAAAGGCAGCACTTGGTGTGACTGAAGGTGTACAAGGGTAGAGACGGGAAAAGCGCGCTGGATTTCGAGGGAATTGCGGGGGAGGGAACCCTAAGGAAGGAGGGACTTGGAGTCCTGTGGCGGCCATGAGGCCAGCTGCCAAGACACGTGTGACTTCTCCAGCCGCCCTGTTGGCCCCGACCCGTGGTCAGTGGTTAAGGAGCTGCTCGCTGGCCCAGAGGCTTTCGTGATGAAGCTGACAGCAGGAACGAGGCCCCACTCCTGCGTCCCTGAGGCTGCCTGTCCCCGGGCTGCTGGGAAGAATGTCTCGCTGTTCACAAGGGCTCCCTGGATTTCCACTCGCCAGGAGATGAGCAGAGCCAGGGGCCCTGATCTAGAGAGTTTGTGTTCTGGTAAATTCCCTCCCTCCTGGACAGGGAAGTGAGGGCTGTGCATCAATTCCACTTTGCTGATCGAAAGCTCAAGTAGCTCAAATGTCCCTGTCTTGTTCCTTCCTTACTACTTGCCCAGAGCCTCGAGACTGAGTCACGTCTCCGAAGTGACTGTAAACGCAATTGTTCTGATCCCAGCCTGCTACTCGTAATTATCCAGGTTAAGGCCAAGTGGGCACAAGGCGTGCTTCTGGCTCAGCCCACATCCCCGGACCCTGCAGCCCTGAGGCCGAGGCGCGACTTGACCAGGCCAGCGGCAGGTGCCCAAGTCCTCTGTGGTCAGTGAGCCGGGAGCCCACTCCTGACAGCACTCGGGGAGGGACTCCTGGTAGCAGCGGCATCAGGACTCTCCTGTCATCTGTGTTTGTGCTCTTCTCAGAGCAGCCAGGGCAGAATGCCAAGGGGGACCCGGAAGACCTGGGTGTTTCACGTGCCACCACCCTTTCCCCTGAACCAGGAAAGGAGCAAAGAGAAACAGGACCTGAGGCTCCTGAGGTCCTGAGGACCTGAGGAGCCCGTCTCCGCTGCACGTCTCCCCTCCCATCCCCAACCACACACCGCCCCCCCCC